CATATATATATATATATATTTTTTTTTTTTTTTTTTTTTGCCTTTGGCAACATTTTTTACATGAACTGAAGACTAGTTGATACAGGTATCCTTATGTTAGCAAGAATAATTAGCCCACCTTTCAGGAGTAATGCCAGTTCACAAGCTTAGACAGCATCAGGGTATTGAGGTAATTAAAGGTAAAGGTTTTTATTGTGTATTTGAGGGGATTTTTAAACAATTTGTTGTTGTTGTACAGTTTGTAACAGAAAGAGAATAAAAGCATGGTTTTCAGGCCCCTGTTTCTCTGAAGCATTGATTGGGAACTGTATCTGAGCCTGAAATGTCATGACATTTTGAGTGGCAAGACTGTAACTGTGTTGAAAGAGAATGGAGAGAGAGGAGGGGGCTGAGTAGATTTTCCAGTGCAGGTTTTGATACATGAGAAATTAAATCAACAGCTGTGCTGAACACTAAAAGGAGTGTGACACAGCATGCTGAAAATTTCCGATCATAGATGAGTCCTTTAGGACTTAATGAAGGTTGATGAAAAATGGATGACAGGAATCTTAGGAAAATATAAAAGATGAAATTGATTTGACTAATCTGTACTCTCTCTGGGTGGACAGAACACTCTAGAACTATTTACCTCATAATCTAAAACTAACCTGGAAAAGACTTTGGAAAGACTCTAACCTGGAAAAGTGCAAAATTACAGCCCGACAGAGTTCTTAAGAAACACTAAAATGATTGATAACCAGATTAATTATTAGAAAGCTAGAGAGAATAAGCTAGAGAATTAAGGACAAGACTTTATCTCTTTATCTGATGAGAAACTATCATGCAAAAGTTTGGGATCAGTAAGATCCCAAATTAATACTTTTACTCAGCAAGGACACATTAGATTGATCAAAAGTTGACAGTAAAGAGATGATTAAAACATGATTTATGTTTTAAAAATGCTGTTCTTTTGAACTTTCTATTCAAAAAAATCCTTAAAAATATATCACGGTTTCCACAAAAATATTAAACCGCACAACTGTTTTCAACACTGATCATAGGAAATGTTTCCAGAGAACCAAATCAACATATTAGAATGATTTCTGAAGGAACATGTGACACTGAAGACTGGAGTAATTACTGCTGAAAATTCAGCATCACAGAAATTTTGTATTTACAGGAATAAAGTGCATTTTAAGATATATTAACATAGAAAAAACTATTTGAAAGTAAAAATATTTCACAACATTACTGTTTTTACTGTATTTACTCTATTTATCAAATAAATGCAGCCTTATAAGAGACTTCTTTCAAAAACAGTCTTGGTGTCGGTAAAAAATCTTACCACCCCAAACTTTTGAATAATAGAATGGTAGTGTATATAAAATATAACAATACCATTTATTTATGGCATGTTATCTGTCACTTTGTCTCTCAAATGCCCATTTATTATGATGAGTCAATCTCACAATGAATTGTTTGGGTAATATTTCTGTATGATAAATGCTACCATGATATATATTTACATTTGCAATTTACATATGTACTTCAAAATGTTAGGTAATGTTAGATTTTTTTCAGCACAGTACAATAAACCTACTGAGGCAAATCCACTCAAGCAATACAGAAAGCCATTTGTGCACAGTGGTCTGGTAAAAGTTTTAAAATGAAACTGATGTGACCATCAGAAGTGAAGTGTGGCAGCTTTGCATCACCAGCTCCTCTTGTCTGTGGTGCCTCTACTGTACAGTTACTGCAGACGGTGTCCCCCTGCCTACTGCAATGACATTTGCATTTGAACTGCATTAGACAATGAGAATAAATTACATTGTAAAGAGGATTAAGACAAATATCTTAATAATTCACTTAAATGAATATATACACACAAATATATAGTCATTGAGAGATTTCTGCAGTGAAGTTGAATGACTGATGTATGTTCTGCTCTGTGTTTATTACAGGCTGGAGAAAAACACTATCATCCCACATGTGCCAGATGTGCACGTTGTGACCAGATGTTTGGGGAGGGGGAGGAGATGTACCTGCAAGGTAATTTAAATATCATCAAATTTGCATGATTTGATTCAGATACTTAAATTTGGTGATGTGTTATTAAAACAAATCTTTCAATACAATGAAGATTGTTTCTATTGTTTCTTCATTTGTAAATTATTTTAATGTGACAATTATTGTGTCAACCTTTTGTGGATTATATTAATAAAAAAGAATAACAATATCCAATCAGAGAAAAAAAAATTTAATTGTTGGCTATGATAAGCAACAGTTAAAGGTGCAATAGGTGATTGTCTTCAGAAACATTTTTTGTTATGCTGGTTGAAAGTCGTCTTCCTTCCTGGTATTGTAGTATGTTTAAAGTTTTCTCACCGGTGAATGACACATGATGTAGCCCAGCGGTTCCCAATTCCTGTCCTCCCCCTGCTCTGCATATTTTGCATGTCTCGCTTAGTTAACACACCCAGTTCAGATAACCAGCTCGTTAGAATTGAGCTACATGCATGAACTGTGTTCCGATCGATATGATGTGTGAAGTGTGAAGTGTGACATAATATACCTCTGTAAATAAAAATTATTAAAATTTGCGTCTCGCACACTTTAATGCCCTCTGTATGGAACATATACGCTTGCTTCAAACTGGATGGCGGAATATCCGGTGATGTCCACTTCGCAGGGCACTTATGGTCGAATAGAACAAACGTCGCACTTGATAAGAGATATATATGAAATGTGCAGAGCGGGGGGCGCGAGGACTGGAATTGAGGTGGCCTATTGTAGTAATGTTGTCTCTTGTATTCTGGTCTGTGAGCGTATATGCGTTCAGGGGGCGTGGCTTTGGACGGTGATTTGCAGGGAGGGTGGGACGTTCGATTTCAGTGCTATCAGGCTAAAGTTAGCATTTTCTAAGATCTCCTACTGCACCTTTAAGGTTAAAGAGATGAATTTAATTTGATGATTTGTGTCAGAACACTGAAGGAAACATTTTCCTCTTCAAAGTTCTCTAAATTTAGACCGTGAAACCAGACAGACAGGCACAGACAAAGCTGAGGGCTACTGACAAGGATTTTTGAATAATTTGTATATGTATTAGTATACGTGGAGTTTTATGCTTAAGAAAACACATCTGTACTCACAAAACCAAGAATGGATAGATTGTTTTGTATTTTAAACAGCAATAGACAGTTACATGGAGCTAAAAGCTCAGACCAGTCACTAAAACCTGAATACATTCCATAGTTGATGTGTCTTAAATTCTAAAGAACAAAATACATATTTGACATCCTAAGATAAATGTGGTTTTATTTATTCTTGTGTCCAACCTCAAACGTTGCAATACTTCAGTATCTCGTTTAACTCTGCACAGTGATTTACCACAGAAATTCACTGCACTGCAGTTTGTCAAAGGAGCTTTATAGACAGATGTTCTTTCAGAAAGCAGAATAAGTTAGAAGCCTTTTTTCAATCTGGCTAAAATAAAATGAAAGACTGCTGACTCATTAAAAGGGTGAATGATTGTGTTACTTAGTTTATGAATGCCAGTTGATATAGTGGTATATCTGAACATGCTAACTCCTCAGGAGATAAGTTATGCAAAATATCTTTATTGAATTAAAAAATCTACACTATTGTTCATTTTTTTGGGAAAAAAATGTTTTTGAAAGAAGTGTCAACAATCATTTATTTGATAAAAATACAGCACAAACAGAAATATTGTGAAAAATATTAAAATTTAAAATAACTGTTTTCTATTATTCTATTTTATTTTATAATGGATAAAATTATTCCTGTGATGGCAAAGCTGAATTTTCAGCAGCCTGCAGTGTCAGATAATCTTTCAGAAATCATTCTAATATGCTGATTTGGTGCTCAGGTAACATTTCTTGTAATTATTAATGTTGAAAACAGTTGTGCTGCTTAATATTTTTGTGAAAAATGTGATAAATGTTTTTCTGGATTTTTTGATGAATAGAAAGTTCAGAATAAGAGCATCTGAAATAGTTAATATATAAAAAATACTTAATACACTGAACAAAATTATAAACGCAACACTTTTGTTTTTGCTCCCATTTTTCATGCCTTACAAAATAAAAGTATTTAATTATTTAAAAAATAAATCACTGACTCTAAGCTTTTTAACAGTAGTGTATGTCTTTGTGATATATAACAAAATATAAATTTACCTGATTTTAAAGACAATATCAAAAACATACTTTTTGAACAAAAGTTTGTCAAATGTGATATACAGTATTTATAATTAATGAGATGCACTATACCTGTGAATATTGTGCTGTGTGAAGTTGAAATTGAAGGCAGCTGACCTCATAAATCCACTAATAATGACACCAGTTAGTCAAAAGTAATTGCAAAAATGGTTTAGAAAAATTTAATTCTAACGGAATGACATTGAGCCATTTTGAGTGACTTAAGTGTCAAATACTTCTTAGGGCCACCGTATTTTTTTAACAAGGACTTAAGAGTTATTTGTGGCTTTCTCTTTCACAGGTTCTTCCATTTGGCATCCTCCTTGCAGACAGGCAGCGCGTATGGAGGAGAAGAGTAAGGTAAAACTAAGCAAACTGTAAAACTGTAACTGAAGACACCTGCAATCCAATATGACCAGGAACTAAATGCTCTGAAACAGTCATTCTCTTTTTGTAAATTAGGCTAATTATATATTGCACCTTTATTAAAAAAATGCACTATTTTTTCCCACAGAAAATGGGTTGACTGAATTTTAAATACATTTTACTTAAGAAAAATGATTGAATAGTTGGTCATGGCAGCTGTTATTCAAGAAGTAATGGAGAAAAGGGTTGTAATTGGGCAAGTGTTCAGATGCATGTTGTTGCCGAGTGCACTTTTGGCTTTTAAAGCGCTAATTATGGTGCCTGGATCACGGCAGTGGAGTGATGCTGTACAGTCCCAGTAATATATTGTTGTTAACGGATTTACAAAATTTCTTAAGTGAATCGGGCACTAAAGCAATGCAGACAGCGTGTGCAAATAAACACTGCTATCAGCAGATCCATGTAATTTTTATTGACTTGAATGTCATTAAAGACTGAAGTCTATGGTATTTTTTTCTTAGCAGCTAGAATGAGTGACAGCCCCTAAAAATGTATGCTTATTTAAAGGGGTCATATGATGCTATTTTAAAGATCATTATTTGGTGTAACAGAATATGTTGACATGCTTTAATGTTCAAAAAACACATTATTTTTCAAATACTGTACATTATTGTAGGTCCTCTATGCCCCGCCTCTCTCAAACACGTCGTTTTCAACAAAGCCCC